AGACCTGTGCTTTTAGTTGTTGTGCTTTATTTGAGAGCCTTAATCAGTAACGGCCTCTAGGTGGCACTACTGTCCCTATTCAGGTTACACATTAAATACACTCCATGTGGAAATACCTGTTTAATCAGGAAAACATTCATAATCATTAGTTTGATCCCTATTTGCTTTTATAAATATGGATTTGCTGCAACATGCATTTGATATGAACTTCATGTTTCTTTACAGTGGAATTTGGGAGGTGTACTGAACTCAAACCATTCACAGCAATAGTTTATCATTTTTAATGCTTTACCTCGATTATTTTTAATGTAAAAACATATTTATTCGCCTAATTCTCAGCCTCGATGTCTTCACGATTGTCTTCCAAATATGTCGAGCTTGTCAGAACAGTCAGGCCATGAACCACTCCGTAGTTTCAAAGTTTTGAAATCCCCCAAATATTCTGCACATAATATTTTTGAGTTAGACAAGACAGAACTTGTAAATAAGTAACTGAAAAGCATGGCTGGTTCTCATGCTCGCTAGTACGGTGGCCCAACCCTTCCTTCCCCACCCCCCTCCCTCTTCTATCCCTTGCCAAACTGGATCTGTAGGATCTTACAGAGTCATATTCTCAGGAGACAGGAATGTCAGAGCACAAGGGCTGGTGCCTGCTGGAACATGCAGCCTCATTCCCTCACACATATACGGGAAAAAGTCCCAAACGTGTTACTCATGCATCCATTTAATTTTCCCTTAACAACTCTGTGTAAAATGCAAAGTCTGCGCCGGACGTGTTGTAGACACACATTGACTCACTGCTCGAATTTTGTCTGGTGCACCACAAGCCTAGTTTTTAACAAAGTGTTTGTATGTATGTACGTTTTCGCTCATTATAAAATGTTTCTTTTCGACAGTTTTGTCAGACGACACTGTACAAATATGCTTTTATGAATTTCAAACACATAAAAGGATTTTTGAGATTTTTATTGTTTAAGGTCTTTTAAAAAGTCTTTGCTTTATGTACAGCTTACAATCATAATATTATACAGCAGATTAAATCATTAGTCATTCAGACTATAAGGAGCCCACGTGTATCAGAACATAAATATAATACAATGAAACTGTGGCATTTAAAGAACGACACAAAATCAAAGAAATGTAAAGGATTATTTGGCTGATTTCTCAATCACCCCACATCACCATCTACGGTATCTCAGGTATTGAGACGCTATTGACAAGCAGAGGATCAAAATGTAACAAAACAAAAAGGTTTCATGCTACATTTGTCTGTGTCAGTGTGTCATAAGCTTCTGGACACACACAGGCCCAAGCTTGCACTAGAGGCCCTGCATCTGTTAGCCTGCCCTTTCTACACTAGCACGGGCTTTTCCATTGCTCAACAAGCAGAGCTGCACGCAGTGAAATGTTAAAAGTCCACTTTCCTCCCAATATCAGAGGTCATTTCTCCTCTAATTGACAGACCAGCGGCTGGAAGTTGGCGACGAGCTGCTGGCGGACTCTTTGTGGGACTGATTCGGGCTGTGGCTGTGGGCTGGGGAGTGGGTGACACTTGGACTGCTGGGGGGGGTAGAGGAACAGGAGGAAGACTTGGATTTGATTTGCAGCCACTTGTCTCCCAAAGCCTTGGCAAAGTGGTCGTCAACGGACACGCTGATGGAGAGCTGCTGGGAGCGGGCCTTCTGGTAGTTCATGCCGAGGCTCCTCTGGAAATGCTCCTCGACCACGTGATCGTAGTTGCTCTTGGAAACAACTGGAGAAGAGAGGATGAACGACATAGCGTCAAACACACGCCTCAATGAGTCAATGGAAGTGAGTGGATGTGTGTGATGATGAGGGAGTGACTGTCTGGAGAAGGAGCTCTTTCGAAAGAGTGTGAGACTGACCTGATGTGTGGCTCCTGTGGACCTCAGACCTGCCGGAGGGGTTTCTTAATGAGGACACACAAGTGATCACAGAGGGACGCATCTGATAAAACAAAAGAAAAGAGATGGGGTATTAATCAGATTATTACCTAATCACAGGAAAACAATAACCTTTCTTTGATTTCCTCTTCATCATACAAACTTTGCTTGCTTAACCTGACTGTGCACGTACAAGAAAAACAATGCACCAAGTTCAGTTAGAAAATGAATGTGAAATGATTTTGAAAACCAATTCAACTGGTTGGATTTGGCCATGAGACTCAGATCACTCCCAGTGTGGCATCATAAACAGGTCAAAGGAGAGCAGTCTGTTTGGTCTTGTTGATGACATTCCTCCCTCCATTGCTCACATTTTCTCCCCGAATCCGGCTGGATTGCATAGCTCGGACAAGCTGAGGCCTGCGTGCACTCCACTTGGAAGTGGAATGACTGGAGTTATGGATTGACTGACTACAGATTGGGGAGATGTACCACTCCTGCTGGTAGCCTGCAGCTACACAAAGGGTCATACAGTATACAACCCACTCTTCACAGGCCCTGACCGACCAAACAGCCTTTATCCCTGAGAAATATCAGTTTGATGTTTTAAGGACACAAGCAGACACTGATTTACTAGATAAATTACCTGGATTTGAGTGGTGGCGCTGCTCTGGGACTTCTCCGTTGTATTTTCAGGGTCTTTTCTTGGTTTCTTGATGAGGGCGAGAGGTTCGTCCATGATGGGGGCGTAGTACATGTGGGCGGGCAGCGGGCTGGTGGGGCTGGGCGTGGGACTCCAGGTGGATGTGGGGCTCTGTGGGCTGTTAAACATGGCCGGTGCTGGTGCTGTTCTCTGGGCCACTTTGCCACTGTTTCTGCTGAGCACTCGCTCTCGTCTGGAACAGAAGATCATGAGAAAAGGTCACATCTCATTGACAGAAATTGTGATTGATCAGTATTATTTTCGGTATTGGAATATTATCCAAAAGAAGCCACATTCACCAACCTTTCCTCCAGTGTGAGACCTCTGTCATGGCTGCGCTTGCGTTTGACTGGATACACTGTTGGGCCTCGGACCCGGTCATTTGTGATGTGTCTGTACCTGTCTTCACTTCTGAGGTGGGGCTGACCTAATAAAAAAAAGAAAAGTGCAGGATTAGAATAAAATGCTTAAAAACACAATCATACCACAGACAGACAAAATCTGTCATTTACGGGCAGTGATGGTTTTACTATATTGATGACGATGTGTGTCACTCAGTGATGAGTAACTGCTTGTTTTGATCCAGGATGTCAACTTGCATGACTGCTATCCATGGGAAAATATTTTTTTGTCACCGTTAATTGTAAACTCCGTTAAGCTGTAGAACTTGATTTACCTGATCAGTGAAGGTTACAAAGCAGCACAGCTGATTCACTGGTAACGGTAAACATTGTTTTTCTGCATAATGTTGGCATACAGCCCTATCACATGGACGAATGGGCACAGTTCACACGTATTGTTATCATGAGATGCATCACATCTGATGGCTTTATGCTCACAGATGACTCTGATTTGGGCGGCTCCCGTCCGAGACACACTGCGGATTTTTCCAATAAAACAAGTTGAAACACATCAAAAAGTAGCTGGTGATGTCGGTGATGGGCTGAATGAGTGATGCCTGTGTTACATCTGGGCCGGAAAGTTTGTCTCACAATCAGTGCACTTAGAAATGTTGGTCTTTCACTTTCTATGCACAACAGTAGACATAAACCAAACCAGTTGGGGCCTTTGCCTCTCATCAACACTCACAAGTTCAAAACAGTCATGCATACAGTCAAAACACAGAGCACTGTCTGCAGATTTAATGGCAGCAGCATTGTTTGACTGTATGCTCAGTTCACACTTGGGAATCCACATTGATTCGACGACGGGGGTCCTTCAAATTCAAATTGGCCATTCGATGCTGGAGATCAACCTCCTCACACCGACACCCCCGCGCTTTAGTGAGCTGAAACAGTGGGTGATTAACTGTGATTTGCAAAACACAGAAAAAAGTTGTCTACTGTGTCTTTAACTGCTCGCTCTAATACACATTTCCTTATGGGTGAACACAGCAGTACAATAGCTGTGTGCTGCTCCTTCACACAGGGTGCCACTGTGGAGGAGGAGGGGGGTGTTATAACCACACCTATGCTGATTTTCTAATGCCTCAGGCATAGATATTTCTTCCTTATTAGCAAAGCGAATACGCTGCGTGACCTTCTGCTTTGCTGCGTTTAATCTTATTTCACAAGACATGGAACAGAAACACAGCATAGTCAGAAGACACAACACAATTCATAGAACTGTAATTTAGTCTTGAACACATTGAAAGCCATGAGTATGACTAGAGACGCCTTAATACTGAGTTAACGTCCTCATATATACTTATCTGGTCTTTTTGACAAAGCTGGACATATT